TACTCAGGAGGCAGAGGCAGGTGAATCTCTGTGAGTTTGAGGCCAGCCCAGTCTACAAATAGAGTTCCATGCCAGCTAAAGCAACATAGTGAGGACATGTCTCAAGAAGGGGGGGAAAATCCTCCAAATTAACCCATTAAATGAGAAAGGATCAGGAAATCACTAGTAGGCCAGCAAGACACCTCAGTAGGTATAGGTGCTTTATGCTCTTTTAGAGAACCTGGTATAGTTCCCAGTACCCACATGAAGGTTCACAACCATTTGTAACTCCAGTTCCAGTGGATCTGATATGGTCTAGCCTCCACAGGCATCTGTATACATGGTGTACATAAACTCACACAACTTCACATACATCAATACAAGTAGATAAATCTTAACATACACAAAAAAGACTAATAAGCCAGAGAGAGGCTGAGCAGTTAAAGGCACTGCCACCACACCTGACAAGATGAGTTAAATCCCTAGAATCCACACAGGAGAAGGGAAGAACTGATGAGATAAAGTTGTCCTCTACCTCCACATGGACACACTATAGCATACACCAGGGTGAGGCTCAAATATTTAATTTTGCTATTTATGTCTAGGGTAGGAGTAGGTGCTCATCTACAACTTAAATACTCAGCTATGCAAATGAAGAGGAACACTTAGTACCCCCAGGTTAAAAGGAGAAATTAGCAGTTTATATTAACAGGTTATTAGAGAAATAACTTGAGACTTTTCTAACATGTAAAATATCTTTCCATTCTCAGTGTGTCATGTGACAACTGAAGCAAAATGAGAAATGGAATTAATGACACGACTGGTTCACTCACCTGTCTTTAACAGCCTGGAGAGACACCCGAGGAGACGGAGAACGAAACGGCAGTGGGATGCTGAAGGGCAGAAAAGCTTCACTCTTCTCTGTCTCAGACGTCACTAGACCATGGGGAACACTGTCTAATAAACAGAATCAGGGAGAAACAAACATCTAATCACATGGACGTTTTTACAAAGCTAAACAAATTCAGAAATGAATAAACCAAAGGAGATGAAGGATTCAATACCAAAATTATAACTGACTCAGATACAAATGAGCATAGAAGACAGGTTTATGGGATGCATGGATGGTCCACATGAAACACTGAGCCAGGTACTTTTATCCAACTTACTAACCCTGTATCCCCACAAGCCACAAAGGTAGTTTAGAGTTTCTACTAATCTCTTCTCAACAGTTCAGTCACAGGAATGCTGGAACATTGAAAAGGGAAGGCAATGGCTCCCAAAACTGGAGCTATCTTTCATTCCTGGTGGAAAATAATGTGGTTAGTGAGGGTTAAAAAAAATTCTTAATTATTTTGGCTAATGATCTGTTTTAACCTGTCCAGCATTTTGATGTATGATCCAAATTAGGCACTTTACCCATGTTAGTGCAAACAAGAGATTAAAAACAACCCACGCATCACTGTTTCTAGTGACCAGCTTATCTATGGGTGACTAGTCTCTAACGTACTAAAATTAACTCATACCTGACAGAAACTCTCTGCATAAGATTATCCTGTCATTCACAGAAAGCAACTGTTCCTCATCAGTGACCAACAAGAGACATACTCATCACCTTCATTTCTGCTTGCACCACAGCCCTGCTCTGGCTGCTCTTCTTCCTGGTGTGAGCCAAATTCTTTAAGCCTTTCATCTTCTGAGAAGGTCTGACTGTGAAGGGAGGAAGAGTCTTCATCGGACTGACTGCCTCTTCTACTACTGATGATCCGATAAATACCCGAGTCCAAGATGCTAAAACTTTCCTAAAAATGATAATAATTCCCCTCAAAATCAAAGTTCTCCTGTGTAACACAACACATCTTTTTCAGAATAATAGTAGCACTGGGGTCGGAGGTCAACAGCAACAACTACAGTTCACCAGCACACACTAGTGAAGAGTACGGGCACCATCATGGGGTGTCATCCACCATGTCCTCAGCTTGTCTTTGGAAAGCAGGCAG